ATGGAACCAAAAAAAAAAAAAAAAAAAGTCTCCAGATGCTGCTAAGTGTTCCCATCCTGAATGGAGGGGTGGGGAAGAGCCCCTGGCTGAGAACCACTGGCCTAGAATAAGTATGCAAAACCTTTTGATACCATCACAGATTACTCATCTAACTTTTATTGTGACCCATGTGACAGGTGACATGGGAGGGTTTGACAAGGCAGTGGGAAGGGCTGGGTTCTACTTTGTCTCCCTTTCCTGTGTCCCTCTAGGCCAGAGGTCCTCACCCCAGCGTGCTCACACCCTCCCCGTCTCCACCCTGGCAGCGTCTCAGGCCGCAGTGGGCATGAGACTGGCAGCGAAGCAGGCAGAGAGGGAAATAGGGGATTGGGGAGGGAGAGATGTCTCGGGGTGACCAGGACCTGAATGGAGATGCTGTGGTTCCAGTTCTCCACACTCTGCTGAGCAGGGGACAGCACCGGCGACCTTTGGGCAGCCCAGGCCTCAGACTCAGGCCTCAGCTCAAAGGGTTCCTCCGTGTGGCCTTGCAGTGTCTTTCCCTGCCATGAGCCTCTGCGTGCTCATCTGTGGACTGGAACAGCCCCTTGTCAGTGCCTCTTGTCGCTTGAGGATGAGGAGGATACATCTGATAAAGGACAGAGGGATGCACGAGGCCTCGGCTTGCCCACCTGTGAAATGGGTGTGGTGGGTTCTCTAGACCTCTCCTAAGGCTCCGATCCGTCACATGGGAGGTCCTGTTTCCTTGTGACCCTGAGGAGAGAGCCCTGTGACAGCTCTCCTGAGCTCCTGCTGTCCTTCCTTTGCCTCTATGTAGCTTCCAGGACAGCACAGCTGGCGGAAGGAGCCCTGGATGTCAGGAGAGCTCCCTCCTGGCTTTTTGTATGACCTCCCTTGTACGTAACCTGTCCTCGAAGCTGTAGCCAGGCCCTTCTTCCCCGGTGTTGGGAAAGTCTGCGATGTCTGGGAAGCCCTGCCTGGGGACAGCGTTGTCCTTAAAGAACCCTTTTGCCACCTGTAATGGGCCTGTTCCCCTGCGCCCTGGCTCTGAGTTTGGCCTCCTCAGCACAGTGCCTTCTGCTTCCAGGGGGACTGTGGTCTTTTTCCACCGTGTCTCATTGTGATGTCACAGGTAGGGGTGACGCCACTGTGGTTTTGGGGTGCTCTGGTGTGAGCTGGGGAGGAGGAAGTGTATGATTACAGGCGTGAATTTCCTTCTGTGGGTGGGGGGTGGCGGTGGGGTGCTGGCTGGAGGGGTCCCAGGCCTGCCGCTCTGTTGTGGCCATCATCTGGCCTTCCTGAGGGCTGTGATGAGCCTCTGTTTCTTCCTTGGGCAAGAGGAGGGGTTGGGACATTCGTCTCTGGAGGTTTGCCATCCCCAGTCTTTTGGTGCGGTTACCAGAATGAGGGCTGTTGTCTGGCCCACACCTAGCTGTCAGTCCCGGAGGGAGGCTGCAGGGCCGCTTCGAGGGCCTGGCAAGTTGCCCAGATGCCGCCCCGCCCCCCGTGGGTGTGTTCTGCGGTGGGGCGGGGGCTGACAGCAAGGTAGCGCTGAGGGCCTCAGGAGACTCCCTCTAGGAGCGCTGGGTGCATGAGGGGCCTGTGAACTGCTGCTCTGTCCCCTTTAGCAGCTGGTTGACCAGAGCAGGGGTAGAAATCCCCAGGGGATTTGTGGTCTCTTTGCCCTCCAGACAAATGGCTGCAGCTGCTTGGGTCCCCATCTGAGCGTGACCCTGGGTGAGAGCAGAGTGGGAAGGGGCCCAGGCATGGGGCCCGGGTGAAGGCCCAGGCTCGGCCCAACTTTGAAGCCGAAGGTGACCTTCTGGGAAAGGTCCAGCACCGTACCTCAGTTAGCGGGACTGCTGCCCACACCCAGGTGTCCCTGCCTGGCCTTCCACAGCCCAGCCTCTGTCCCTCTGCAGCTCACAGTGGCCCAGGCTCCTGGGAACTCTGTCCAGAATGACTCATGCTTGGCTCTCCTGCTCTGATGGCATCAGGAGCCCCACACCCTGCTCCTCCCAGCCCCCTGGAGCCCCTGCTGCACCCCGTGGTGGACCTCCTTCTCCCCAGGTATCCCCCTCCCGTTCCCATGGCTCCGCTGGCTTCCAGGTCCAGTGGGGTCCTCTGGTCCCTGCCCCCTTCTCCTCTTGTCGCCTTCCCGGTTCTTCCCCATCCCGTCCTCCCGTGCAGGGCAGCTTCTCTGCCCCCACTGGGTCCCAGGGGCTGGCAGGCTGGCACGTGATCCCAGGAGGGGCATGGAGGAGAGGGAGGCCGGGACAGCAGGGATGAGGCTGGCCCACAGGGCAGGGAAAGTGTACTGGGGCAGCAGTGGCAGAGGCTGTAGATGCGGGACCAACGTGTGGAACTAATAATGTGGTTCTGCGGGTGTCCCTTTAGCACCAAGCTCTGTCCCTGTGACTAAATCAGAAAGTGAATTGGTCACTAAATGAGGAATTTTAATTTTTTTTTTTTTTGAGACAGGGTCTCAATATGCAGTTCAGGCTGGTCTTGAACTCACTATGTAGCTGGCCTTGAACCTGCAGCAATCTTCCTGCCTCAGCCTCTCAAGTCCTGGTATTATAGGTGTATACTACTATGCCTGGCATTTTACTTTGGTAACTCTTACATGCAGCATTGTACAACAGAACATTAAAGGACAGTACTGTACTGTACAATCAACAAAAATTACAGTACTGTGTAAACAAGGTGTACCATACTGAAAAGCACACTGAGGCTTTATTACAAACAAGGTGTACAAAACTATACAAAAAATATAGATTGTAAGTCTGAACAGTCAGTAAACATAGGTTTTTTAAAAAAGGAATATTTATATTAAAAATTATAGCAATAGCTGGGCCTGGTCACAAGTGTGTGTAGTCCCAGCATTTGGGAAGCTGAGGCAGGAGGATTGCTACAAGATTGAGGCCGGCCTGAACTATATGGTGAAACCCTGTCTCAAGAAAACAAAAAGAGTGGCAGGGTGTGGTGGCCCATGCCAGTAATCCTGGCACTCTGGAAGCTGAGGCAGGAGGATCTTTGTGAATTCAAGACCAGCCTGGGCTCCATAGTGAGTGCAAGGCCAGCCTGAAGTACATAGAGAGACCCTATCTCCAAAAACAAAATTGAAAAGGGCTGGGGTGCACTCAGTGTGAAGGCCCTGGATTCAATCCTCAGTACCATGGAGAAAAAGAATTGTAGCCACTGTAATTCTGGGTGAGACTTCTGGGGAGTTTATAAGACATTTTATATGTGTTATCTCAGTCTTCATGTCAGACCCAGGAGGTTTGGACTATTCTCAGTCCCATTCTACAGATGAAAAGACTGAGGTGTATAACCTCTTTTATTTATTTAAAAACAAACAAAACAGGAGCTGGGGAGCTTAATGGTAGAGCATGTGGTTACCGTGTGACAGGTCCTGGGTTCTATTCTTCTTTTTGTTTTGTTGTGTTGACACAGGGTCTTGCTGTGTTCCCATCTCTGCTATGGTGATCATGGTGATCCTCTTGCCTTAGCCTCCTGAATGCTGAGATTATAGGAATGTGCCACCGTGCCTGACTCATCAAAATATTTAACAACCGTAACACAGGGGCCAATCAGTCCACCCCGGACATCAGCTGTACACAAACCAGTCAGGACAGATGCCAGCTACAGTAATGGGTACTGCCCAGCCCGTGTAGACCTGGCCAGGCTCCTTGGGTCTGAGGGGGAGGTGGCTGCCTCTGCCTTCCCTCCCTCTGCAGGGAGCAGGCCAGGAACCGAGGCTGAGAGCTGCCGGCCCAGGGGTGGGCACTTCCTGGGTGCCGGCAAAGGCTCAAGGCATCAGTCGCCCTCTGGCTTCACAGTGAGCAGGGGACGGGCGGCCGCGATTGTCCTGCAGTACAGAAGAGGTGCTGGCGGCGGGTGTGGGTGAA